AGAGTCCGAAGTCGGCGTCCGTGGCTGGATGGAGTTGGGAGGCAGGATCGGTTCAAAAGGAATGTGGCGCAGGGCGTGGTGGCGCGGGCCCGGAGCCCCAGCTACTCGGGCTGTGGCGGGAGGATCGCCGGGCCCCGGGGTTGGGGGCTGCGGTGCGCGGCGATGGCGCCCCTGCCCCCGGCCTGGGCGGCAGAGTGAGACCCCGTCCCTAGAAAACAAACAGCGATAGCTTGGCTCTAAGGTTAGTCGCGTGTTCAGCCTTTCTATAAAACTGAGATACGAGCCACATGCAGTCCACCCTTGTAAACGGACAATTCAGTGTTCATTATTAGAGTCACCACCCGCAACCGCTACCATAGTCCAGAACATTTTCCTTCTTTCTTTTAAAAAATATCTTTAGTTAGGGTCTGGCTCTGTTGCCCAGGCTGGAAGGCGGTGGCGCGATCACGCGCCCTGCAGCCTCGAACTCCTGAGCTCAAGAGATCCACCCAGCTGCGGCCTCCCGCGTCGCTGGGACTGCAGGCGCGCGGCCCCCGTGCCCAGCTATTTTAAAAAGTTTTTGTGTGGGAAAGGGATCTTGCTTTATTGCCTAGGATGATCTTGGAACTCCTGACCTCAAGCGATCCTCCCCTGCCCCCAGCCCTCAAAGTGCTGAGATTACAAGCATGAGCCACCATTCCTGGCCCAGAACATGTTTTTTTTTTTTTTAGAGTTGGAGTCTCACTCTGTCACCCAGACTGGAGTGCAGTGGCCGCTCCCGGCCACCGCAGCCTCGACCTGCTGGGCTCGGGCGATCCTTCCGCCACAGCCTTCCAAGTAGCTGGAACTACAGGCGCGCGCTACCACGCCCAGCTAATTTTTTTTGATTTATTGTAGAGATGAGGTCTCGCCAAGTTGCCCAGGCGGGTCTTGAACCCTCAGGCTCAGGCAATCCACTCACCTCAGTCTCCCAAAGTGCTGGGATTACAGGCTGAGCCACCGAGCCCGGCTGGCCCAGAACATTTTTATCACTCCAGAAATAAACCCTGAAACCCATTAATTCCTTCTACTCCCGGTACCACTAATTTTTTTTTTTTTTGCCTATAAATTTAACCATTCTCGATACTGCATCACACATTTATCCTTTTGTGTGTGGCTTATTTTGATTAGTACAATGTTTTCAAGGTTCATCCATGTTGGAGTATGTGTCAGAACTTCATTTTTTCTTTTTTGAGTTTGAGTCTCACTCCATCGCCTGGGCTAGAGTGCAGTGGCACACTCACAGCCACCTCAGCGTCGACTTGCCGGACTTTGGCGAACCTTCCAACTCAGCCTTCCAGGTAGCCGGAACTACAGGTGTGCGCTACCACGCCGGGCTAATTTTTGATTTATTGTAGAGATGAGGTCTTGCTAAGTTGCCCGGGTGGGTCTCGAACCCGCAGGCTTAGGCAATCCACTTGCTTCAGCCTCCCAAAGTGCTGGGGTGACAGGCTGAGCCACCCCACCTGGCCTCATTTTTTTTTAAAGGACAGAACAATAGTCCATTGTATGGCTTTTGTTTTGTTTCTCTGTTAGTTGATGAACATCAATGGCTTTTAGACATTTTAAAGACAATTTCCCCGCAGAACTTATAGTCCAATGCTCAGACATTTTAAAACATTCTCAGAAACCAGCATCCTGGGGTCAGGTAATTCAGTAGCCTCAGGTCTGGTATTTTTTAGGGAAATGTATCTTTTTATTCATTTACTTACTTAGAGAGGGGATCTCTGTTGCCCCTGCCGGAATGCGGTGGCACAATTATGACTGACCCTAGCCTCAACCTCCTGGGCTCAAGTGATCCTTCCGCCTCCGCCTCTCGGGTAGCTGGGACTACAGGTGCATGCCACCATGGCTGGCTAGTTTTTTTTATTTTTTTGTAGAGACGTGTCTCGCTATGTTACTCTGGCTGGTCTTGAATTCCTGGGCTCAAGCAGTCCTCTTGCCTTGGCCTCCCAAAGTGCTGGGTTTACAGGTGTGAGCCACTGTGCCCCGTAAGTGTGTCTTTTTTAAGTCTTCTATCTTTTTTTTTTTTTGAATTGGAGTCTCATTCTGTCACCTAGACTGGAGTGCAGTGGCCGC